TATTGGAACATCTTCAGCTAACAGATACTTAATCCCACACAATGAGCCCACCGCTTTGGTTGAGAACAAAATGACAGAGAACACACTTCTTGACCTCGTGACTGCAGTCTAAGGAGCAGGGCCATAACCATGCGGTCAGGAGAGGCATGGGGGCCAGTGGGATCAGTGCCTGGACTGAGGAGGCCCAGCTCTAAGGAAGAGGCAGCCAAGACTGGATCTGGAGGGAGGTCATGAGTGTCAGGTTCTGGGTGGGTGGGCTGTGACGGGGAGGGGAGAGAGGAAACGCAGAGAGGCTGAGGATGTTAACATATGGCCTATCACACCCGAGGGTTAGAGAATCAGCTTGCTGGAAACAACCCATGGAGGACTTGGAGACCAAAGAAGAACATGGAAGGACATCCTGTTAGGGGTAGGAATTCATCAAAGGGTTCAAGTGGAGACTGAATTGGAATATCATTTAGTCTGCAAATGAGAGCATGAGATGGGAGTCAGGGAGGCCAGTGACTTGCACTGGACTAAGACATGGCTACTTATCAGCTTCCTGCATGGCAGACACTGTTCTAGGTTTGAGGACACAGGCAAGTTTGAGATGAGCGTTATGGGCAAAGACAGGAGAGTGGTCTGTTGAGCAGCCTCTGCAATGCTCCAGGCGGCTACAGTGCAGCTGTGGAGCTGTGACACCACTCAGATGCCAACTCACCTAAGAACACTTATAATGCTGAACTGGGTGTTGGGTGAGAGAAAAAGAGGATTGAGGGTGGCAAATGGAATTTAGAGGTGGCCTTTGGTTGGAGAAATACCTAGAAGCAGTACTGACGGAAGAAATTAAAATATGACAAAGAACAATATTTCAGGCAAGTCGCTAAGAGGATTTTATCCTAGAGTTTGTCAGAAGCAATCATTGAGAAGCACATGGCTGAGCTTACGTTAGGCCATGACTACCAACCCTAGAGAAGTAAAAATGATTGTAAGAAGGTATTTTAAATAATCAACAAGTTGGGTAACCTAGGTAAAACATACAAGTTCCTTGAAACACATAAATTACTAAAACTGACACGAGATGAAATGAAAAGTCTCAACAGACCTATAACAAATAAAGAGACTGAGTCAAATTCAAACATCCCAGCAAAGAGAAATCCCAGACTTTAAGTGCTTGACTTCTACCAGACATTTAAAGAAGAATATAAATCTTTCAGAAAGAGGGGGAGGAGGGAAAGGAGAAGAATCTCAGAGAAGGAGAACACTACCTAACTCATTCTGTGAGGGAGCATGACGCTGATGCCAAAGCCAGACAAAGATATCACAAAGAGAGTGAACAACAGAACAAGATCCTTTATGAATCTAGAGGCAAACATTCTCAAACAAAACCCAAGCTATGTCTAACAGCCTCTTAAAAGGCTCCTAAACCACAACCAAGTGGAATTCATCCCAGGGCTACAGAAGTGGTTCAAAAAGAAAAACAAGTACATTATACCAATGGAGCAAAGGAAAAAATGAACACGTCAATTTCGATAGATGTAGGAAGGGCATTTGACAAAATCCAGCACTTTTTCTTCTGTTTGAAAACAAAAAAACACTCAGAAAACTAAGAGAGATGGAAACATCCCCCACATAACAACGGGCATTTGTGAAACTTACAGCTAAGACCATATTCAATGGTGAAAGAGTGAAAAATCCAGATCCCTGCCTTATGCCATATGTAAACATTAACTCAAGATGGACCAAAGACCTACATCTAAGACTCAACATGATAAAACTTAGAGGAAAAAAAATGAACAGAAGGGTGAAAAACTTCTTAACTTTTGATTTGGGAATGGATTCATACATCAAAAGTATTATTAAATAAAGAAAAATGTATAACTTGGACAATATATTATTGTCAGGATATTATCAAGGAAACATATTATTGTCAAGAATCTTATCAGGAAAGTAAAAAGAAAACCTATACAATGGGAGAAAATGATTGCATTTCATATATCTGATAAGGGTCCAGAATCCAAAATGTATTAAAACAAACTCTTAGAAGTCGACAACAACCAAAATAAGCAATTCAGTTTTTCAATGGCAAGGACTAGACAGACGTTTCTCCAGAGAGGACACACAAATGTGTGTCAAACAGCACATGTCAGAAGCTCAGCACTGCTAGTCCTGAGGAGTGTAAATAAAGACTACACCCAGAACTTAAAAAGAAAACAAACAAAAAAGCAACTAATCAAAGAACAAAACACAGAAATGCAAGTGTGGGCAGGCAGTGGAACAGGGAGCCTCCTGCACACATGTATGGATGTGAACAGTTCAGCTCTGTGAGAGAAGCATGGCAGCTCCCCAGACAGCAAGAAACCACCCTGCAACTCCCAGTTCCACCCTGGAGAGGGGTGTGTCCAAGAACTGAAAATGCACTATGTGAACGTCTACAGCGTTCGGGTCCCTGGGTAAGCGAAATAACCAGGACACAGGGGATGCAGAGCCAAGGAAGCAATTGCAACTGCATGCTGAGGTTTATTTGCAAGTTTCTTTTATATTTTTCTTCTAACAAAGCAAGCAATTCTTCAGTAACACTTCACCCACATTGCCCAAATATCATGCCTCAGCGGGTACACAGAGCTAAATTCAGATTGTTCCTGTCTATTTGATAAGTACCCTCCTAAAGTTCTTTGTAGACATTATCTAATCCCCTGAGGATGTATTTGCTTCTTTAGAATGTACTGTTCCCAGATCAAGTATGCAGGAAGCTTCTTCCTCTTGGCCAAACCATGCAGAACTTGTGACTTGTGATAAGGGGAAGAGAACTTTTCCTCCTCCTAACTGAGGTTTGCCTCAGCTGACCTAAATCACAGCCACAGCTCTTGCAAAGTATCAGGCCTGAGGGAGCTAAACTCTGCACACTCAAACCCCAACAGCACTATCCACAACAGTCCAGAGGCAGACACAGCCCATGTGCCCGCCCATGGCAGGAGGACAAATGCAGTGGGACACCATCTAGCCAGGAGAAGGGACAACCCACTGACACAGCCACAAGGGGAACTCGCGACACCTGGTGAGTGGGAGAAGCCAGTGCGCACACACACACTGCGTGAACTCACGTTAACAGTCCTGAATGGGAAAATCCATAAGGTGAAATCAGTCTGGAGGCTGCCTGGCCGGAGGCTGGGGAGTAACGGTCCCTGTGCATACAGCTCTGTTCTGGTGCTATGACAATGTCTTGGAACCAGAGATGGTTCTCAATGCTATCACTGAACTGACAGCCCTGGAATACTTCCTTATGAAACTCACGTGTTACAGGGACTTCAACTCCACAACTGCAGCCACACGCCCCTTGGCAGGGCTGCAGGCTGGGTGGGCACACCCAGCGTGGGATCAGAAGCGTGAGGGAGTGCCATGCACAGCCAGCAGCATGGGAGCTGCCTAGAAGAGAGGGACTGGTGTCCTTGGGAAGCAGGGCTGCCAGGTGGCAGTTAGGAGGACAGCTGTGGGAGCATCAGCAGCTCATGCTCTGCTGAGCAGGCACAGCCCAGGGAAGCTGAGCAGGTTCTCAGAAATGTGGACCTTCACTCAACAGACCAGTCGGGCTGCAGATGAGGGCTGGAGAGCTCGGCACTCAGAGGAGTCAACAGACAGAAGGAGACAAGAAGAAAGTATAGCATGAAAAACAACACTGCTCTTTTAGATGCTCGGCAAAGGTATTCCATGTAGACAGATAGCAGTGTGTGACGGAGGGAAGATGTCCATGCACCATCAGGATCTAATTCCAGGCCCATGTCTGTCAGCGCTGCTGTGCGATTATGTCACTCAAATGGGTGCTGCCTTTTATGCTCCCCAAAAAAGCAGCAAGGAGTGCAGCTATGGAAATGCCTAGGCCAGGACCGCAGCTCCAATGCACAACAGAACCCTCTGCATGCACTTCCTTCTCCTAGGCAGCCTTCTGCCGACTGGGGAGAGAGGACCCCAGCCCAACCCTAGCACCAAAGCTTCCTGAGGACAAGCACAGTGTCTTGCATCCATACCCGTCCTCTCAGGGCTGCTCACTGCAGACTGTGCCCCCTGGCTCCCCAGTTCTTGGAATTTACAGGGAATCCATGCCATTAGCCAATGTCACAACTCTGAGGTTTCTTCCTAAAATTGAGCTACACTAATTCTCTTTTTGACTTTTGTCAAAAGTAAGCATCCTCTTGCTTTCCTTAACACCAGTGCCAGCTCTGTCAACTGTCAACTTCTTGAGACAAATACATCACTGGCTAAGAAGCCTCTCTGTCACAACTTAATCAATGCTCAGATACTGAGAACGGTAGTCTTTTTTCCTTTCAAAATCATGTAAACTGCTATGTTAATGATTCCATTTCAATGAATCATAATTTGGTCAGAAGCAGAAACTATAGACAGCATTATTTAACACAGAGGCTTCATATGTATTTTAGAAATTCACCATTTGGATTTAACAAAGTAAATAATACCCATGATCAACCAGATCTTTGGTTTGATGTTAGTAAGTGGTCAAAGAGGTGGCAGGCACTTGAATGGCACTCTGGAAGGAAGATCCAAAGGAAGAGCAGCGTTTACTTGCTGCTAGGAAGCCACAGGGAACCGTGGCGAGACAAGGGCCATGTGTGATCACAGGGGTCACCCCACCCAAAGCCACAGGCCATGCTGCATGGCAGGCAGAGGGGTGATACCAACAGGCTGTGGAGTACGTGGCTCCTGCCTTGCAGGAGACAGGGAAGGGGAGCCACTCACGTCACACTGGAAAGGCTTCTCTCCCGTGTGTGTCCTCTTGTGCTCCTCCAAGCCTCGCTTCTGGCTGAAGGCTTTGCTGCACTCCGAGCACTTGTAGGGCTTCTCCTGTGGGGAGACCAGAGGGTCAGGGAGGTGCAGTCACCAGGGTTGGGGGTACCACCCCAACTGAAATGTCCCTAGCAGCATGGCACATCCTGTCCTGGCAGGACTGGGGGTGGCCTTTGTGATCCAACTCCTTTGCCTCACTCCAGCTACTCCTTTTGGCCTAGGATGCTGTAAGATGCACTGGGGTCCTGAGAAGAGAGCACGAGGATTCCGATCTAGGTGCTGAACTACCAGCTCAAAGGTGTTCCTGAACCCAATTTTGGTAAGTTTATACAGATACAACTCAACTTTAGTTCGCGTATTCTAATTTCTGTTACCCGACATTTTTTTCCTAATAAGATATTCTTTTTTTTAACCTAAATTACTTTTAAAAATGAAGTATTTAAAAAAATTGTTGAATACAGATTCTTAAGGAAAACATATATCTCAAAAGGAAGAGAAAAAGAAACGTCCAAATTCCTTAACCATCTTTGATCCTGGGAACTTGACTGTACGATCACCTTTTCAGTCTGAACTGGAACTAAAATAAATGACATTGTTCTCTTTAATGGCTGGCAGGTTGCTACTCAGTGCATAGTGAAAATGTTATTTTAGATTTAAGGACACGTACTGGTTTTGTTTTTTCAATTATACCTTCAAAATACTTTTTTCAATTATACCTTCAAAATATATGCTTTTCATTTCCTCTTATATTAACACATTATATTTACATTATTATAAGTTTTTTCAGACCAGAAAACAGCATATAAGTAGCAAGGCAGACCCCTGTGCCCCACCAGCAAACAGGTAGGCTGTTGGGGCCCCAACCCTTCCTGAGAACCTCCCCCTCCAGGGCCATGGGACCACCCCCCTGGTGTGTGTACCCTTCGCCTGTCTCTGTACTTTACCACTTGGGTATGATGAGTTCCCAAGCAAGACAGCCTATTATTTTGCCTTTTTAAAGTATAGAAAGAATTCATGCTATATTTTTTGTGTGTACTTTTGAATCAAATTTCATTTTCTTCTCAAAATATCTTTATGAGCTCCCAGTCCTCACTTTAATTTTCTGAACAATATATTGCTCCAACTCATTTTTAATGCCGGGTGGTATCCCGTTCAATGGCTATATCTCAATTCACTTACTCTCCACTGATGGACAGTTAAATCTTTCCCACATTTCCCTCTTGCAAACAATGTTGTGTGAATGATCTTGCACATGTGCATACTGTGGGTGAGGGCATTTTTCCAAGGGGAGAGTGTTGGATGGGACCCCAACACTTCTGGGAACAGCAGATAGCACTACAAAGTTCATGAGCCATCCTACACTCCAACTTCCAGTGTGTACTTGTGGGTCTTCTTATGCTACATGTCCTTGGTACTTGAGTGTGCAGACTTTAATAATTCAGTTGTTCCCCAACTTATCATGGGCCATGGTCTGACAAACTGCACATGGATCTGACATGCCTAGCTTGACCAACACCTAGGCTTAGCCCAGAGTACCCTGTGACCATGTGGCTGCCTGGGGGCTGCTGGGAGCTAGGCTCCCTGCTGCTGTGCACCACACTGAGAGAGCCCCCCACCCACTGCAAATCCTAAACCCAGAAGATCAGAATCCAATTCCCAACACAGTCTCCACTGAGGCAGGCCATTTGGGTGCCACTGCTAAGCTAGACCTTCACAAGGTAAGGGCTGTCTGTGCTGTCCTCATGGAAAGCAGGACCTCCTGTGTCTGAAGTCATCTTTGTCTGGAATCACCCTCTTCACCTCTAGATCCATGTCATTGTAATATGTAAAGTTAGCATTTGCCTGTTGCCTGGGACAGACATTCTTTCCCTTTCCAGCAGTTGGTATCCTCACGCATAAGAAGTGATAAGCAGCATAAGAATTTTTCAATCCAAGTTTTTGTGTTCCAAAGGTCAAAGTTTTAAGAAGGCACGTTTTGTGATTACCGATATACATGAACGTACCTCTAACACTAACTTTCTGCCCTGCTTTTATCGTATTTGTTTTCTAAGTTTCCCCCATGTATGTTCTTAAATGTTTTGAATCAACCCTTTTCCCCTGCATGGGTTCAGAGACTATCAACTCTGTTTCCATCTTTTGCATGGCTGTCCTTGGTTTTTACTGTGTATGTTTGACACCATCTAAAGTTTACCTGCTTTCCTGCCTGCTGAAAAATACCATGGTACAGGATGACCCTAGCTTAGGTGTCAGTGTGCAGCAGTATTTATGCATTTCCGCGTTCTTAATGCAGGTCTTAGTTCAGGCTGCATTACTACAGATGGGTGCTCAAATCAACAGAAAATGGCTCCTCGCAGTTCTGGAGGTTAAGTCCATGGTCAGGTTGCTAGGACGGCTAGGTTCCAGTGAGGCCCTTTGCGGGCTGCAGACTGCCTGTCCTGGCTTGGTGGAGGGAGAGACCTTGGTCCCACTCACGAGGCTCCACCCCCTGGTGTCCTCACTCCCAAAGGCCCACTGAGGCCAAGGTCTTCTTGCCCAAGAGATGCTCTTGTTTTACGTCTTCAGTGAGGTCTAGCGACACACACATCTGTTTACCAGTTTTCCTGCTTTCTTATGTATCTGACTTACAAAGACCTGTTAGTGGTCAATTTTGGTTTTATTTGAAAGCAACTGTTTCTCATTTGCTATTGAATGAAAAACCAAGGACAGCCACACAAAGGATGGAAACAGAGTTGATAGTCTCTGAACCCGTGCAGGGTAAAATGGTTGATCTAAAACATTTAAGAACATACATGGGGGAAACTTGGAAAACAAAAAATAAATAAATAAAATCAGGGCAGAAAATTTGAATGAAAGCCGACACTCTGATTAGATATAGACTAGACTCATTCTATTCTTTGTATCTTGATTCCTCTTTTCCACTTCCAGGTCTTTGTGTTGCACTTTATGACATTTGTTCACAATCAGTTGACTGATTCTCTTCCCAGCTGTTAATAACCTGTGGTTTAACAAGACCATTTGAGCTTTTCAATGCTGTTACTGTATTTTTCATTTCTAAAGGTTTCACTTGTTTCTTTTCCAATTCTATTTAATCTTTAGATACAACATGACCTTTTTACTCATGTAACTCATATTTATTTTAAAATGTTCTAGACGTTTGCCAGTTTTCTTCACCTGAAATGTCATATCTAAATTTAAGGCCATCTAGTTCTGCTCCCTGTGGTTTCCCCTCCTCCTGCTCTGGCTCCTGTTTCTGTGGTTCTGGAATCGTGAGCTCATGCTTGGTGGTCTTTATCTGCTGGACTCCTGTGACCTGCCCCGAGGTGGAGGGTTAGCCCCACAGACTGCACGTGTGTGTGTTCCTGCCTTGCACTCTAGGAAGCTGTCAATCAAAGGCTATGTCAGGTGTACTTCCTGCCTGAGACTCTTGTGGCTAGGCAAGTATGTTAAGTCTGAACTCCAAGCACACTTGAGGAAAGGTCTGTAGTTACAAACAAGGAGAATGCTCTCCCAGCCAGTAGTTACTCCAAGCTAGTTAAAAGCACCCACTATTGCCAAAGGTGGATGGTTACTAGTCCCTGGGATCACCTTGAGCACAGTCCTTTGAGGGTCTCAGCACTGTCCCATGACCTGAGCTCAATGCTCCATCTTTCCCTGACTCCTTCAACCACCAGGTCTCAGGAAGACCTGCCCTGGCCATACCTGCTGGCCCACCTCCTCACTTCTGCTTCTCTCTGGCACCCAGCTGCATGTTGGCTGGCTGGGACCTAGGGACACTGTCACACCCTTACAAGCTCGGATGTCAGCTGTTGGCCTTACTTCACCCAGCATCTCTGGAGGCTCCACAGAGGGCCTTTTCTCAGGATATGGAGCATCTGCCAGGTGGCCAGAAATGGAAGTGTGTGTACTTTTGAAGATGTAAAAGGATACTTTGAATGAGTGTCACAGTTGTTTGGAGAATACTCTTCTTCACAGCTCAGCAATCGATGTCATCAGTGCTTCTCCTGCCAGTCTGAATAAACAACCTCTCTTCCCTTATCGCATTACCTTTGCACTGATTATTTCTTCAAATTCTTCAAAGCTTTTTAAAAACATTAAAAGGAAAATGTAGTGCTAAGAATTTAGAGTAGAAATTACTTGGAGTTTCTGAGACTGCTCATTAAGGTCCTTTTAACGGCCATGTGATTTAGTGAAACATGTATTTTAAAACACATAGACACTAATATGAAGTACGTAAGAAGAAAAGCTCTTCTTCCTACAGTTTGAAAGACTGAACGTTCTGAAGATGTGTACCCTAGGGCAGCTGCTGGGCAAAGAGCAACCTGACAGGACCAGCCCTGAAAGGGCTAGTGTGAGCGCAGCTCCAGGATGAGAAGCCAGAGCGGCAAGACTGAGCGGCCAGGTCAGGGTGGCTCCTCTCAGTGATGCTGCCCAGCTGCACCCCAGACAGGTCTCACGCTCTAGCTCCCTGTGGGCTGCAGAGGTGCTGGTGAGAGGCAGAGAGTCAGCAGAAGGTGCTCACAGCCCTCGATGTACTGGGCACTTGCGTATCTGAACAGCAGAGCCACCCACAGGATGGCCTCAGTGACAGGCTACCGTGCAGTCCCAGGTCACTGCACTTACATTTTCCTCGCCTACCTTCTCTTTAAAAGACTCCATGGGTAGACCACCATCACTGTGTGTCTACTTGTGTTCTTGTGGGAAAACGGGGTGAAATTCACGCTCCTCCAGTTCCTGCAGTTTGAGAACCGCAGGCTGACAAGGGCCAGGGAGGAAGCAGGTCTCAATCCACCTGGCCTCCCTCCTCTCCACCCAGAACCACTGGAATCCATGAGTCCCTAGTTTTGCTCCAAGAGGCATTTGTGGTCAGCTTTCCACACCAGTCTAGAGAGAAAGGCTGTCCTCAGACCAGGGAGTCCTGTGGAAGGCAGCTGGGTGTGCCTTCGAATGTCTGTCCCTTCGCAGTCCCTAGACTCACAGGAAGCTGAGATTCTTTCTGAACATCTCACAAGAAGGAATGCAGTCCTAAGAGATCCTGGTCACACTGTCCACAAGGCTCCTTGGAAAGGCCTCTCATGCCCACCTTTGAAAGGAATTCCATCTCATGTAAGTAGCATTCAAAGCAAGTGCTGGAGAGTCCTGCCCCAGGAAGCTGCCCTGAACTGACGGAGCAGAGCAGTTGCAGGTCACTTACACCAAAAGCTGAGAAACGTACGAACGAGATGGAGGAGGTAAGTGCGTTCTTCCTTAGAAAGGAAACCCTCACCCTCTTCTCACTCGTCCTGCTCATGGCCCTATGAGCCCGTCGGGAACACAGGCAGCCCAGAAGCACAGCGGAGAGCAGAGAAGGCCGAGTGGTGCAGGGTACCACCCAGGGAGACGCCACTCACGCCTGGCCCCCTCCTCAGGGCCTATGAGAACACCACTGTCTGGCGCGTCCCTGAGTCTCCTCAGCCCAACTCCAGTGCGGCAGGGCCCGGGCATGTGTGCAAGGTGTGAGAGGACTGGGACTCTGGTTGCCCAGGCTCGCTGAGGACCATGTAGGTGAAGTACTTGTCCGCCGCTGACACAGCAATGGACCGCATGACAGAAAGCTCAGGAAGCAAGGCAGGCTCTGACACCTTCCTACAAAGCTGACAGCAGAGCTGAGGCCGAGCTTCGCTGCCCTCAAGGGCACTCTGGACGACTCACAGGCCCACGTGCAGGGACACAATGCCGCTGGAGAACTACTGCTACACGGGGCAAGTGTCCCCGAAAGGCCTATGAGGTGAAGGCCTAGTCCCCAACCTGTGGCACTCCTGGGAGGCAGTGGGGCCTGGAGGGAGAAAGCGAGGGCACTGGAAGGGGACTGGGACCCTGGCCTTTTCCTCTTCCTGTCCTCCCATGGTGTACTCATTCACCACAGTCTAAAAGCAAAGGGCCAAGCCCCTGATGCCGTGAGCCAAACATGCCTCTTCCTTACAGGTGGGTTGGGTGGATCGGCTCAGGTGCTCGTCACAGTTCCACACAGCTAGCTGGTACCATGTGGCATGTCTGGGTACCACTGTTTCCCAGTCCCCCAGCCCCCCGCACACTGACCACCACACACCACATCAGTCTCATCCTAAGCCCAGTACTTCTCTTCCTCTACCTGGCTCTAGTACAAACCCTTTAACAGGAGCACAAACCTGCTTCAATAGGCATTATGGAAATGATCTCTAACACTTTCAGAGCGGAATACGTGGCATAAATTATACCTTTCAACTCGTTAGCTGGATTAACTAGACAATGATATGGCTCATGATTAATGCTGTTTCTGAACGATTACGCAGCTTAACTGACAAAGGGCTTCTCCTTTGTCATTGTAACTGGGAATCACTGCTAATGGAGGCCATCTATTCATCAGCCAGGCAGTGTAATCTATCAACAGCAGAATTAATCAGTAGTCTAATCAGTCTGGCTTTAATCAAATGACATTTGGCAGAATTCATTCAGAAGGCAAAATTCACAGGGCTCTGTGCCCTGCACCTAGGAATCTGGGGTTTAATGCCATCTATACAAAAGAACAGCAACTTCATTTTTTTTAGCCAGCATCAACTGAATTAATATATTTCAACATCATTTAAGAGGGGTCTGTAAACAAAGTTATATTTTGATAAATTTTAGAGAAACCCTCTCAGTTTAGCTGGGGAGAACCCCTGCAGCCTGCCCAGGACAGGAGGGACATTAGGGACTCCTGAAAGACCCAGTCACAAACGGCTATGGGCAGAGTGGCCACAGGCAGCAGGTATAATTCCAAGACCTCCTATGGCTGCTTTTACGCTAACCCACAAGAAGAAAGAGAAATATAACAAGAGCTCTCCCGTGCAGTTAAGGCAAGGTGAAGGTGTCGGGGAAGCTAGGGTGCCACTTACTGACAGGGGTGGCCTATCCCAGCGCACTTCAGGGAGGAAAACTGGTCCGTCGTTAGAAGGAAGCAGGCTTCCTCAGAGGGTGCGCAGGGCCCTTAGGCCCCTGATGACTGATGCGTGAAAACCAGGTCTGCTTGAGGATGCAGCCACTGTTCCCCTGCATCCTCGGAGCACGCCCCAGGGACATGCTTGTGTCTGCCAGGCTCGAGCTGTAACAGCCAAGTCCTGCTTAAGGCCACGATGTCCTTGGGCAATCCGACCCCCAGGCCACCTGGGGAGGGCACTCTGAGGGCCAGGTGTGGAGGTGCGAGTCTCTTATAAGGCTGGGAGGACATGAAGTCACCTTCTGCTAACACTGTTCCCACTCAGTACTCCCAATTACAACATCTGCAGCCCTTGCTGTTCACTGTTAAGAGTCCAGAGCAGGGAGGTCTTCTGCTGATGGCCATTTCCCGTCTCTAAATTAAAAAGAAACTCTTGAACATTCATGAAGCATAGACTTGGTGTAAATTTCTTAAACATGATATTTGTCAATAAACAGGAATTTGACAGATTTCTCTCTTCCTATTTTCTCAGTTGCTCCTGAGTGGTTCCTCCCTTGCTGGACACACTACAGACAGGTACGCATGAAACTGGCAGATTTAGACTGACCAGCTCTGTCGTACTGGTAAAAGCCCTGGGGCATGCTCACTGAACCTCGACCGTCCTGGCTGCGCAGTATCTCACTACTCTCCCATGAAGAAGAGACCTGTGGTGCAAGGCCACGTCAGTGAACCTGCAATGTCCCAGCCTTCGCCAAGGAACTAACCCTCCGCCCGGCCGTGCTGATAGGGTGGCTGCCCCACCTGGCACTAGTTACGTCACTCTGCACCCAGGAGGGGTCACCAGCAAACTCCTCCCTACACCCTTGTGACCACCAAGCCTCCCCAGAAGCTGCCATGCGTCCAGGCTGGGGGACAGCAGACAGGCCCTGCCCAGAGCAGCTGCTGTTCCTGTGCTGAAGACAGACTCCAGGCTGTCATAAAACAGAGTAGAGAGGAAGCCCCAGAAAGCTGCCCAGGTGCTGGGGCCCGGCAGCAATGCTATATGCTGTGACAGTGGCCTGCTGGACCAGAAACAAGGACTCAGCCACCTACCTGGCTTCCTCTGTGCTGGACAGCACTGGTCTAAATAAAGCCACCTGGTCACAGCCACCCAGGGTTCCATCTGCCTCCAGAAGAGGAGATTCTGCAGCAAACCTCCTACCAGGGATATTGCCGGTGCCTCTGACACCTCAAATCACACAGCATTCCCACAGTACATAAAAACTTCAGGTCTCACGGCTGGTGTACAGGGAGGTTAACAGAAAGGGACTGGTACTTGCTTGATTTGGTTGAGGATCATTATTTCATTCTCTCTGCTTCTGTAGATTTGAAATTTCCTTACAAAAAGTTATCTGTGTTATTCTAAAATGTAACCCCTCCCCACTAGGGACCTGGCCTTTCCCTTCCAAGGTCTTGTCTTTCTCTACGTTGGGGAGTCACGTTGGGTAACAGGGAGATGAATTTTGTAAATAGCAAGGCCTGTGCTCCAGTGGGGGGCAACCATCAGCCACAAACCACAGCCTGGGGAGGAGATTCCCAAGCCCCTCCAAGCCCACTCACCCAGGCTATTGGCTGTGTGTGGAGTGAGGGTCCTGGTCCTCTTCTACCACAGGGCATTTGCACAGTGGGGGCTGGCATCTCACTTCTCATAGAACTGCACACACAGCAGATCCTCTGAGAATAAGCCACAGGCAGTGATCTGCAGTGGCCTTGACCACCATGGCCACAGGACCAGATGTCACCTGCCCTGTGCCCCTCGGCGGCCCTGACCATGGACCGGACATCACCTGGATCTGAGCACCTAGCGTGACAGAGACTGAAGCTTGTGCCATTTCATATTCCTCACTTTCTCTAGTGACACTAGCCTTGTGATCACCAGACGATGACTGGGTTCCAAAGAGCATCAAAATTGTAGGTAAGACTTAGAGGGTTTGCCAAATGTGGCCCCACAGGGTCCTATAACCCATGGCTGAGGACAAGCCCACAGCCACAGGACAGCAGGCCCTCGTGGTTCCTGCAGGCTTCAGTGTGACCGTGGCACACAACAGGCCCCGTGTCCCCCTCTCCAGGCAGCCTCACCAGGAGGCCCCTTCACAGAGGTCTCTCATGTGGCTTTTCCTCCCCCTCCTACTTTTGCAGCCAGTGTGATCTCTCAACATATGACCAACACACCCATGGCCTAGTAACAATGCCCTTAGATTCATGGCTCTCAGGGAAGCCTTCGACAGCTGGGAGAGTAGTTAAAGCAGGTTTCTACATGACACATCCATAACTGGCTTTGCATTGGAGCTAATGGAAAACAGACTTTCTGTAAACTGGGAAAATGAATTGTGCGATCCACACATAGAAAACTAAAAATATGTACAGTACATAAAGACTAATTTTTGTATCAATGTGTTGTATGCAGTCTTTGAACAGAAACAAGGTCCCTCTTCAATCCATTTGGTCTTGAGGCCCACAGAATAATGTGTGGAAGTGACATGCTGGGCAGTCAGGGAGCTCCACCCCCACTGAGGTGACTGAACACAATGCACACAAACAAGACTCAAAATCAGCTCCAAAGCTCACTCCGCTGGGGCTGTAGCCATGACTCCAATGAGTCTGTTAGGAACATGGGGGAGAAACCTCTCTCTCGCACTCCCAACTTCTAGCCCACTGGATTTCAAGCCACTGGTAAGTTCAAGTCATCTGGGAATCTTTATCATGAACACAGAGGCCTGGGCCACCCCAGAAAGCCCCACACCAGGTGCTGGGATAAGGCTCCAAGGAGCTCTGAGGTGTCCTGGGGCAGCCTGTGGGAGGCGTGCCCATCTGAGGGAGCAAGGCGTTACAGGGTGACAGTGAAGATCACCAGGGTGTGCCCCACCGACCTCTGCCCCGCCCCCTGCTGACACATTCTGCTGTCTGCACTGTGTGGTCAGGACAGCCACAGGCTTAGCTACCAGGCAGAGTGTGGCACACCTTTGAAGACTGGACTCAGTTAGTGGTTAGGCAACATTGTAGCTGTGTGGTCCCTCGGGCTGTGCAGATGGAGAAGTCTGTGTTTAACAGCAAGCCCAGGTTGTATGCCCAGGTAGAGAGGGCGGAGTTCAAGAGAATGCCTACCCAGCAAGTCGTGGCCTGGTGGGGGTGCTGTGCTGCCCATGCCCTCCCTTCCTCCACCCCTGCCCACAGGGGGCTCCCCTTCTGCCTGGAGGCAGGAGCGCCCCAGCCCAGTGAGGAGCCACCCGGCCCCATGACGAGGATTTCAGGGTGGGAGATGTGGCCTGGGCTTGGCGTTTTTAATGGATGCAGGGGATTCCAGTTGGCAGACATGTTGGGGTGTCAGTCTCAGTGGAGAATGGGATTCGCTGTCCTCACAGAGCCAGATTTAGAGTGCCACTGTGGTAAGTCTGGGGCGCCTCTCCTACCTGTGGGTGCAGATGCGCAAGCTGCCTGAGCTGCCGGCGCACATGCTGGGGCATGAGGAACTGATGTGCAGAGCGAGGGACAGTGAGGAACGAGGGCCCAATTGCCTTTGCAGACACTGCATTCACCAACTGCGGGCAGCCCTCCCTCTGAACCTCTCACACGAGCCTTGATTCATTCTTATCCTTTAAGGACTTTCAGTTAGGTTGGGACCTTCCCACTGCCTATGTCTTCCCATCATCGTGCCATGCTCTCATGGCCCTACAAGGAGACAGGGGACACTTGAAGCTCAGGTTGAGCATCACACACGAATGAAAATCTAAGCCCACGAATGCCTGTTAAGATTGAAGCACACAGCAGCTCTAGGGACAGGAGGGCTCACCCCCCACAGCAGTGTGTTTCCTGCACACGTGGGGCAGGGTATAAAGGAGGCTGCAGACGTGTCAGCTGGGAGGGCTCTGAGAACAAAGAGGGATGTACACTGAAAGGAGTGCTCCCTGTGTGGGAGAGAGAGCAGTGGCCCAGGGAAAGGGCAGTGAAATGGCAGCCACCTCGTCACCTTCAGAGAAACGGCTTCTCTTCTGCATGATCCCAACGGCTTAGACATTTTCAGAACTTACCGAAGACTAATGGAAAATTTCATCATAATGGAAAGGTCATACTCACCATCTTAAAAATTATGAATCCAGTTTTGAAATGTCAATGCAAGTTATAATGAAGATACAAGGGAAAGAGAAGGGGATGTAAGGAAGATAGATATCAAGAAAATATAGAGGAGCAGTAGAAAAGATGAAAGCACACACGTACACACTGACACACTGACAGGCAAACATAGTGTCCAAGGCAAAAATGCTGGGATTCACAAAAATGCTGGGTTTCTGAATGACAGAAGGAAGTCAGCTGTGAAAACCAGTTGCTGGAGCTTGAGAACCCAGGGTGCTGATTGATTGCCCTGATCTACGGTCATGTATCGTCCGTCCTCATGGGTTGCGCTCTATCATAACAATTATAATGACAAAGTCTCGCACGTTAAATAGCCTCTCCTGGGCTGGGGTGGTAGCCCAGCGGTAGAGGGCTTGTCTAGCATGTGTGAGGCACTGGGTTCGATTCTCAGCACCATATAAATAAATAAAATAAAGGTCCATTGACAATTAAAAACAAAATTAAAAAAATAGCCACTCCCTCTCCTTCCCTCTCCCTCTTTCTTCCTCTTCTCTCTCTCTCTCTCTCTCTCTCTCTCTCTCTCTTTCTCTCTCTCTGCAAGGAGGCTGATTTGCCCACGGAACATTCTTGGCAAATTTGGAGCTTAGGCTTTCTAATCCAGCCAAGACCCAAGAAAAACTTAGGATGAGAAACATTAACTGCTTCTGTACAAAGGTCTTTTCCTATACATGAACTAGTACTCCGACCTACATGCCACACTCAATCTACAAGGGCTCCGTCAGCAACAGAGGTCACTCTCATGGTCAGATGATATAACTGAGCCTGTCGCTAAACGCTCAGCATAGGGCAGCAGGCTCTCCAGGGCAGAGGGCGTTGCAGGAGCTCAGTGTCCACCGAACACAGCTTTCACCACTGCACAATTCAGAATGTGGTGTGTGGCCAATACCAATTGCCCCGTCGATCTCAGAGGCGCCAGTGAGGGTGAAAAGAAAGGAGACGGGCTGCCATAGCCCCCAGCTCTGAGTTCTAGAGACATCTCTAGCCCATCACAGAGACACAGAGCTGACCCAGTGCAGTTTGCCGGTTCCAAGACGACCAGTGAGCCTGAGACTTGCAGTCTTTCCTGGAATAAGACCATAGGGCTCCCCCAGAGGTCTGCAGAGAAAGGAGTGTGTAAATGCAAAGCCTCAGGAATGGGTCAGCTCATTCTAAGAAACGGTGTACTTATCCACCACAAGATTTTGAAAGCAGGAGCCCAGCAGGAAGGGGTTGTCACCCATGCGGCTAAGGCTGGCATCCAGCAGGGTGCTCCTTCTACCAGGCTCACTGCAAGGGCGGCAGGAAACTGGAGCACAGACCAGCCCTCCAAGCCCCAAATTGATGAAAACACAGGTGGGGACCCCAGAGCAGCCTCCAGAGTCCACCTTGCTCCAAGGTCATTACATGTTTTGAAAAAAGCCAGTCAATCTGAAAGACCAGAAAACAGGAGAAAGAAGATACAACAGGGGGGCTGCAATAGTAGGGAAATTTTGGTTCTCCAAATGTATCACAAGCATTTTAAATTCCTAGGGCAACTGCAGAGCACTCATAAATTCCGAAAATTAGTACCTTCACTCTTTACCTTTTTTCTGTGAGCATATCTGAGCTTGATCCCCTTGCACAGAGGTGAGGGTCTGTGAAAGTTGTGTCCTCTCTGGTGACACTGCACACCCCAATATCACCTGTGCCTCTGCACGGCAAGTTCCTGCCTTGGGAGCAGTCACCCTGCAGCCATGTATAGGACCTCAGCACATACCCAGCTTCCCTAGTTTTTGTAGGCAGTGGTGATTTCTTACCACGGGTTTGGTTGTTGTGGGCCCAGTGTAGTCCTTAAGAAGCAGCCTCTCGCTAATTTGTTTTGAAAACCATGTCAGGTGAGACCAACCCTCTAAATTGGCCCAGGACCAGCCTGGCTTTGGAACCCTGATGATCCAGCATTCTGAGAAACCACAGTGTGGAGCACTCTAGGAGGGGCACCTCAGAGCCGGGCAGCACCCAGTCAGGTTCTGTAGTAAACAGTGGCACCTGCGCACCACAGCCTGCTGCAATGGATACTGATAATGGATAATGGATATTCAGGGACAGCACACACCCGTCACCCTGTAGATGCACCCCACATATTGACACAGCCTCCCCTCCCTGGCCCTGATTATTATCCCACTGCAGGAGGACTCATGCCATCTAGGGAGGCAGGAGCTTTCTGTTGGCCCTCCCCCTACACAGGCCCCCACTGGGAGGACTGGCTTCATGTGCCCAGGGGGCCAGGTCAGGGTGCAGGTGCTGCAGGGGGAGGTGGGGGAACAAGGGCAACCAAGCTCCAGAGAGCCACTTATGAACTGCATAGGGTACAGAAAATGCCTAGCACGGTCAGAATTAGGAGGTAAAGAAAGGGACTGAATGAAGCAGTCTCCTGCTCTTATTGAACCCACAGGCCAGAGAGCCTCCTGGCACCCAGCATTCAGCTCCTAGTACTCCTCTACACATGGAGCTGATTTCCTCCTGTTGTTTCTTTGCTTGCTTCTTGGTTTAGATGTCCCATGCCTTTACTGAGCACTGAATATGGAAGAAAAGCCTGCCCACAGGGTCCCTGTGGCCCGCCTCCTGCCAGAAGGGCAGTGGGACCTTGGGCACTGGCAGCCAGGTACAGGCAGCCTAGTGAACACACCTGCACAAGCCTCAGTACTGCCACCCCTATCGTACCTACAGGAACTAAGCCACAGCTAGGCCCAAAGGCTTAGAGAAACACATTTTTCCTCTCTCAACAAAGTGCATAGTCAATCTCTCCAAGGGACTTTCCCCCAGACAAGAGAGAACACCTGCCAGCCCCAGGGACCAGGTGGAGGTGGGCTGGGTACAGGCAGTCCTCTGGAGCCTTGAATGCACATCCGTCACAGGGACATTGGAGATTGGCAGCCTAACACCAGTGGATGCTCTCACAGGATAGGCATTGGAGAACCCACTTGTGCCCTGCCAGCTGGAAAACGGGGACAGAATTTATCATTCAACTTCAGATCCAGTCCTCGAGGCCTGATTGCCTGGTGATATGCTGTCCTGCATGTTAGGGACTGTTTTCCTTGTGGAATGTCATTGGGGGGTGGGGGGGCGATGGCATGATACTCTGCTTCCACATGTAAAAAACACATGCTGATTTTAGTGCCTTCCCTTATTATCTCTGCAGAGGCAGGCCTGTAGCAGGCCTAGAGTGGCCAGGCCCATCACATCTCAGCACAGTGCTGACTCTAAC